TTAGGACTGTACCCAAAATAATTTAAAATACATGCTCAAACCAACAACTAGTGTGCACATGTTCACAGCAGCCAAAAGGTAGCTTACCTAAGTTAAGCTTATTAGGCTAAGCTAAATATAGTATACCCACTTACTGGAATATTCTTCAGCCATTAAAAGGATTAGGACTGATACATACTGTAATAAGGATGAACTTTAAAAGCCAGCTAATAAAGCCAGATACAAAAGATGATATACTGAACCCATTTTTATGAAATATCAAAAATTGATCCACAGGAACAGAAAGAGCATCAGGAGCTGAGGAGTGGTTGGAACTGAATGCGAAATAGGTAGACTTTGCTTTTGAGGTCATGAGAATATTCTGGAGCTAGATAGTTATAAAACAATAAACTAAATATAACGGAACAGCACACTGTAAAAGTTAACCTTATGTGAATTTTATCTCAGAAATGCTTCACTATTAATTTAGCATGCAGAATTGTTATTTTCAAATTAGTGCTTTTATATAAACTCACTCGTTAATACAGTTGTAATGACCACCCATAACAGCGGGATGGAACCCAGAGCCTAGCGTAGTCCATGTTTGGGCACTAGTGCTGAGCGATACCCCTAGCCTTTTAAAAATTTTGACATAAGGTCTTATTAAATTGCCCATGCTAGTTTCCAGCTTGCAATTCTCCTGCCTCAGCCTCCAGAGTAGCTAGGGTTACATTTGTACCACAGCTGTTATCTTCAGTATTAAAAATGCTGTCCTTTTTCTATAAAGACCATAGAACTTTTATTTTTTAAATTTTTTTTGGTGGTACCAGGGATCAAACTCAGGACCTTGCGCTTGCACTTGCCAGGCAAGCACTTAATTCTACTGAGCTATCTCCCCAGCCTAGAGCTTACTTTTAATAGTCAAAGCTCTTAAAATTGTTTCCTCCTACTACATGAAATGTATTTTTTTTAAAAATGTTTTTGGTACTGGGGATTGAACTCACCAAATGAAATCTAGATAGTGTTTTGAGTGCTATCTTTAAATATTAAAACTTTCAAAATATTTATTTATTTATTTATTTTGGTGGAGCTGGGGATTGAACTCAGACCCTTGCCCTTGCCAGGGAAGCACTTACTCTACTGAGCCACTCCCTGGCCCCTAAGTGTCTTTAATTGTGTTTAGAAAATGGTTATAAAAAGCTGGATATGTGGACTGCAGAGGCTGAGGCAGGAGGATCATTGTGAATTCAAGGCCAGCCTGGGCTACAAAGTGAGCTCAAGGCCAGCACGAACTGGGCAGTGAGAAGCTGTCTCAAAAAACAGCAAAAAAGAAAGTGGTTATATTTCAGGGAAAAGATTTCTCCCTAATGAACTATCAAATGGGCCGTGTGATAAGCTAGTAGTGTGAACTTTTACCTCCCATTCCATATGGATTTTGGATTTGTCTCAAGTTAAGTCTGTAGGAAATCTTTGTCTAGAGAATGGAAGATCTAAAGACATCAATTTTGGGGCTGGGGAGATGGCTCAGTAGAAAAAGTGCTTCCCTGGTAAGCGTAAGGGTCTGAGTTCAATCCCCGGTTGGGGGGGGGGGGAAGACATCGATTTCTACCAGGGACATCTGGTAGAAATTGTGTCTTGATGTTTTTCTCCCTTGGATTTACTATTCCTGAGGGCTGCCTTTAGTATGACATCAACACATTATGATGAGCTCATAACTTATCACTCAGAAGTCACTATGCAGCACAATTGTTAGAAGTTTGAAGAGTTGGCCAAATAGCTCCGCTGATTAAAGTGCCTGCAAGCAGGTGCAGAGGCCAGGGGGACTGCTGTCAGCCCCGCCCCCGGGGCACGCTGAGACTGCACTTGAGACTGGGCATGGCGCCCTGTAATCTCAGCACGTGGGAGGCTGTAAACAGGTAGATCACTAGGAGTCCACTAGTAGTGAGACCCTGCACACCCCTGTAGAGCCTTCCCTAAAAAAATAAAATACAAAAAAAAAAAAAAAAATTGAAACAACTGATTTAATACTCATTTTGAGACAGTGCCTCACTATGTAGTTCCGGTTGGCTGCAAACGCAGTGATCTTCCTGGCTCAGCTCCCAAGTGCGGGGCTTACAGGTGTGCACCACCAAGCCTGGCAAGACTCAGAAGTTTATGATTTTTTTTGGCTGGCTCAGGCTGCCTTAAGGGCGGGTCGTAAAAAAGTTGAGAACAATTTTTTTTTTAAGACTCAGAATTTTATTTTTTTATTTTTTGGCAGAACTGGGGATTGAAATCAGACCCTTGTGCTACTGAGCCATCTCCCTGGCGCCAGGATTCAGGATCTTAGAAGTAACCTACATGGTAGCTAGAGTGAGTCGTCTGCTAATCAGTTATGAACTGTTAGTGTACTTGTCTGTAAAATTTTTGAAATGTTAATTCCTACAGTAAGAACTTATGACATAAAATGTGGCTTACCATAGAATGTTGTATTTCCTGTTTATTAAAGGCGTTAACAATTCTAAATGTAAGAAAAGTTCAATCATAAAGACAGCTTTCAACATTTCTGAGCAACACTTTATACTAAGTCATGAGTATAAGGGAATTTTGAGTGCTATTACTGTATTTTCTTATTCCCTATCTTTGGATTTGTCATTTTAATATTCTATGCTGGAGCTTGGACTAGAGCACAGAGCACTTTACAGTAACATTCCATTATCCCCCTGAAAAGTGTTTAATCATGAAACACACTTAAGGATTTAGAACATGGTATGTTTTCTAAGTGCTTAAGAGGTTTTCTGACCAATGTACAATCAAGCCAGCCATGATGTTAAAATAGAACCTGTATTATGCTTTTTTTTATGGGCATGGGTAATTATGCTACATTTTCTTTAAACTTTTTGCTGGGAAACGTAAGCATTTTCTCTCAAGTTATTGTATGGGTCTGTCAGTATATTTGAAAGCAAACCAAAAACAAATTTTAAAAGGAAGCCAGGTATAGTGGTGCAATCCCAGCACTCAGGAGTCTGAAATAGGAAGATTACCTGGGTTACACAATGAGTTCAAGGCCAGGCTAAACTGTATATTGAGACCTTATCTAAAAATAAGTAGCTGGGGAGATAGCTCAGTAGAACAAGTGCCTGCCTGGCAAGCGCAGGATCCTGAGTTCAATCCCTGGCACTGCAAAAATAAAAAAAATAAAAACAAACCCATAAAAACAAAAATAAGAAGGAAAATAGTATATTATTTATTTTTGTCTTTTGGTTCTAGGAATCAAACTCATGACCTTGCACGTGCCAGGCAGGTACTGCTACTGAGCTACATCCCCAGCCCAGTATTATGTGAAAAGAATCAGATTCTGGTTGTAATTTTGTTATGGTTTGTGTATATGTGTCCCCCACAAAGCCTCATGCAGTCTTGGGGTGGCCTCTGGAGTTTGTTTGCTTTTTGTGGAACTGGGGATTGAACTCAAGCGCTTGTGCTTACCGGGGAAGCGCTTATTCCACTGAGCCATCTCCCTGGCTGCAGTTCGATTACTGTGGATGTGGATGCTGCACCTGCCCTGAGGTAGGTAATTTGCATTTCAATGTGAGGAAAGAGAAGTTAGCTACTTGAGCTGCTGCTACTCCTCCTTGTGCTCTGCTGTGTGCTGCTCTGCCTTGGAGCTGGCTGAGTATGGACTGAAACCTCTAGTAACTGTGAGCTAAATAAACCTTTCCTTCCTTCATTTTGGGTGTCCAGTATTTGTCCCAACAACGAGAGAAGAGTAAGACAAATTTATTTTCATATTTATAAACTGCTGTTAAAATTCTCTCAAAAATGGTACTTACAAAGGCACAATTTGGTAGCATCAATTTATTCATTTATGGTCTTTTCTAAATAAGATCTCAAGAAACTGGCTCCTTCATCTTTTCTTTCAAGTATTTTTAAGGTTCAATCCGAAGTGCTGGTAAAACCTCATTCTCAAACTTACTAAACTAAGAGTTTAACAACACATTTGATAGGATGAAAAGGCAGACTATATCATCAAGGTAACTGCTTACAGTACTAGCTTCAGAATGTGAACGATGGGCTTAGCTTGTGGTATCAGCTTAAAGGACTGGAAACATGGGCTTTCATTACTTAAGAGCTTTTCTTGAGATAAGTAGGTTTTTAATACCTGAACTAGAAATTAAATTTAGACTATGAGAGAACACTACAGTTATCCCAAACATCAAAAGCAACAACTAAAAGATTAAAGTACAATGATGAATGAATTAGTAAAGCTTGGTTACTGCCTGGATACTAATTAGTGCAACTCCTTGTTTTTAAGTTTTCAAAAGTTTGGCTTCCTATTTAAATTTTCTTTTTTAATGAATTATATATACAGTGTTGTTCTGTAACTCAAGTATAATGCTCATCTATAAAAAGAACAGTTTTTATTTTAGGTATGTTGAAAAGCCCAAGGGCCGGGGAGATGGCTCAGTGGAATAAGCGCTTCCCTAGCAAGCACAAGGGTCTGAGTTCAATCCCGAGTTCTGGAGAGAAAAAGCCCTACTACCGTTTTTCCTACATAAAATACTTTCGAAGATACTTCTAGCATAGAAATCCTCAATGTTTCATCCAGTTTCCAGCCTGTGTTGGAAGTTTCTCATCAAGTAATGTATTGTGCTATGTTCTCTATTATCATGGCCAAATACTCTGATAACTTATGAACATTTGTCGTGGGTAAAAATAGAGAGAATAAATGTCACAACTCAATTTGAATGTTAAACTGGGCTTACACCCTCAAAAGTGAAAATGAGCTTCAGTATGAATGAGAATATAAATTATGTCCGTATATACCATGTACTAAAAACTAAGGAATGCAAATACCTTGTTGGCTGAAAAATGAAGAAGCAATAAAATTCGTGATGTTGTATTTTAATCTTTTGTTAAAGCTCCGAATAAATTGCTAATCAAATTGAGGTAGAGGTAGACCCTCGTTATTCTTTCCATGTGTCAGAACTTGTCTCCCACCTTAACTCGAATGCATTACCTTTTCCTTAATTACAGAAACATGATTCAACTTGAAATGTGTGTTATGAAAGATCATTCAAAGGGCATTTAAAAATTCTTATTTACCAGCTTAAAAAATCTCTCCTAAAAATGTACACAATTCAATTTTCTTCTTGCTAATCATAAATATATTTGTTTTTCCTCCAAGTTTATGGAAAAAAGGTAGAGAAACTATACAATGCAAATATTATGATGTCTTGTGACAAAGACATCTGGAACATTACTAGGGAAGCAACAAGGTTTTATATTAGTGGCTAGATGTTCTCTTTAGGGGTTACATTAAGTTTCCTACAAAGTAATTTCCTTTTCAGATTTTAAACAAATGCCAGTAAACAAATCTATTTCCATTTTAAATCACATACAAGAGCTATGTGATCAGAGGGATGGGAAACACTAGGTAAGGCCTGGTGGGTGGTAACTTCTTCATGACTAGGTAAGGGAATCACCTGTTCAACCTCTAAAGCATTTAAGTCAATGAAAATGTAATCCAGACACCCATGAAAGCCACCAACATAATTTGTGTAAGCAGGTTCACCACAAGCACTTCTCAATTTGAAGAAATGCTTCAGAGCCATGTTGCATCTTTCCTCTTCCCCATTGGAAGCCCAATCTTCGTGGTCCTCTGGAATGCTGCCATTTATGACAAACTCATACATTCCTGTTGATGGTGTACTATTGAAGTCCCCACAAAATATAACGGGAATGCCAGGATACAGATCACATGAGACATGCTTAATGTGAGCCAAGGCCACGGCCATCTGAATGAGACGAATGTACCCACCTACGAACACAAAAACATTAATGTAAGTACTTTTATTATTTTATTTTTTTACGTATTTAGTACACAGATCAGACTCACAGTGATTCTCCTGTTTTCAGCTTCCCAAGTGCTGGGATTACAGGTGCATGCCACCACACCCAGTCTCTATCGCTGTCTCACGGCACCCTGGGGGCGAGAGCAGCATGGCACCCCAGGGATTGAACACTAGTCCCTGCACCCACCTAAGCAGGTGCTTTAGTCCACTGAGTCATTTACGTACTTTATTTATTTATTTATTTATTTATTTATTTATTTATTTATTTTGTATTTTAAGGAAGGGTCTATAGGGTGTGCTGGGTCTCACTACTAGATCAGATTCATAGTGATCCACCTGTTTACAGCCTCCCAAGAGCTGGGATTACAGGCATGCACCACCTCGCCGTCTTATTTAAGTAATTTTATTTTATTGTGGAACCAGGGATTGAACTCTGGCCCTTGCGCTTGCCAGGAAAGTGCTTATTCCACTGAGCCATCTCCCCGGCCGCATGTACTTTTAAAAGTTGTCTTTAAGTTAAAAAAAACCCAAAAAACAAAACACCAAATCTCAACATATTGTATACACTGTGTAAAAGCATTTTAGCAAACTTGTCACCTGTTTAAGTCACTGTGAAGCCAAATACGGTAAAACTTACCTTTGGGATGCCAGTAGAGATGTGTATTAGCGACACATATTTTTTTAGAGGAGTCCTTTGTAGACTGAAGCACTGAAACCTAAAATAAAGTACCAAGAGTTCAGTTGGTGTGAGCCAATCTCCTGAGTGTTTCATCTAATAGGATGAACTGACATTTTATTCACTTTCCTTTCCTTGATGAAGAGAGCAACTATGAAACTGAATGTTTTAGGATATTGTATGTGCATAGGATCCAGTATAACTTTTTTTTTTAGAACTGGGGATTGAACTCAGGTCCTTGGGCTTGCCAGGCAAGTGCTTATTCAACTGAGCCATCTCCCCAGCCCCTAGTGTAACGTTTTAACTGTCCAACATGTAACGCAATTATAAAAATACCTTTTAGATGACAATGTAAGGTTGGAAAAGTGTTTTCAAATCTGTGAGCACAAGCTTTGGAATCAGGCAGACTTACATTTGAATATTTACCATTCACAGCAGAGACAGTTTTCTAAGCTAGTTTCATGATAAAGAGACCATATCCTCCCCTCATGGAGGGCTGTAGTGTGCATTCAATTGCATGAGCTGACACAGAGGTGCACAGAACACAGTAGGTGCTCAGAAAAAAATGGCAGCTACTCTGTAATCTTTTTTTAGACAGTCTATGTAGTTCAGACTGACCTTGTACGCACTATGTAGCCCAGGCTTATCTTGAACTCACAGCTGTCCTCCTGCCTCAGCCTTCCAGGTAGTGAGATTACAGGCATGGGCCACGATGCCTGGGTTTTGGGGTTTTTGAGTCTATGTAAGTCCAGTATGGCCTTGAACTCACGGCAATCCTCCTGCCTTGGCCTCCAGAGTACAGGAATTAGAGGCGTATACCACTATGCCCAGCTCTTTTTTTTTTTTTTTTTTTTTTTTTAAATTTTTATTTATTTATTTGTGTGTGTGTGTGTGGCCAGCTCAGCCCACCAGGTGGCGGGGCTGGCTGGCATGTGGTGCTGGGGGATTGAACCGCGGTCCCTGTGCTTTGCTAAGCTTGTTCTAAGTAGGTGCTTTAGACCACTGAGCCATCTCACCAGCCCCTGCCCAGCTCTTTCAAACATTTTTTTTTTCACTGCTACTCAGTTTGAATAAAGCCAACTGCTTAAAAACTTTGGACATTCAATAAACACATTTTCATAAATGACAATTTTATTTTTAAAAATATATTTAGAAAAAAAAATATATATTTAGTCCAGGGTCTACAGGGTCTCACTACACAGATCGGACTTGTAGTGATCCTCCTGTTTTCAGTCTCCCAAGCACTGAGATTACTGGTGTGCAACACCATGCTCAGGCCCACTGGCCCAGGACGTCCTGTGGGTGGGCTGGCACGGCACACTGGGGATTGAACCCCAGACCCTGTGTCTGCCTAAGCAGGCACTTTAATCTGCTAAACTATCTGGTCAGTCCTATAATTTTAGGTATCAGTTAACCTTGCCTAGTGATGATGATAAATACAATATAATCAATTCCCTAAGAATCCTGCTCCAAGGGACCAGGGAGATAGCTCAGTAGAATAAGCACTTGCTTTGCAAGTGCAAGGGCCTGAGTTCAATCCCTGGTTAAGGAACCTGGTAACTAAATTTGCCCAATCTCTCTCTCTTTGAGGAAACAGTTTATATTTTATTATATGAAAGATTTCCTGCATTTCAAGACTATTATATTCCAATGCTCAACCAATCTCTCATTTATGAAGTTGGGAAGAATAACATGTATAAAACAGGAATATGGGGGAGGGCTTGCCCATTAGCTCAGTTAAGTGACTGCTTGAACAAAGCAATCGTGATGCTGTGGTTCAATCCCCAGATCCTCAAGCCTTATCAGACTTGCCTTGAAGGCATCCTGAGCCAGCCAAAAAAAACCAAAAAACACTTCTGAACTTTTTAGGGCCAGGGAGATGGCTCCCTAGGATAAGCGCTTGCCTGGCAAGCACTAGGGCCTGAGTTCAATCCCCAGTTCTGGGAAAAAAAAAACAACAACAAAAAAAACCAAACTGGGGGGCTGGCAGTTTAGTTCAGCAGACTAAATGCTTGCTTAGGTAAGCACAGGGGCCAGGGCTCAATCCCTGGCTCTGCAGGCTGAGCCATTGATAGTCTGGGCGTGGTGGTGCACGCCTGTAATCCCAGCACTAGGGAGGCAGAAATCAGGAGGATCACTACGAGGCTAGGCTGTGTAGTGAAACTCTGCACAAAGAAAAACCACCCAGGAATATATGAATCACTGTAAAGATTAACATGTTTATGATGAGGCCGTAACTCATGTATCTTGCTACTGGTCATCTTGAACCACTGGTGGTATATGCAGGCACAGTATAGTTGCTAAATAAATGTACTGGATTAGTGAATGAAAACTAAACTTTGTACGGAGAATACAAGCCTAAACAGAGGATAAAATGTAAACATAAGCTAAAATAAAAGCTAGACAGTTTCATTTCACTTATCATCCCTCCAACTTGTCCTTTCAGGTCCCTAAAAATGCCTGAATTTATGAAGAGACAGGTGGAGCTACCTCACCTGCAGGACTGAAGACCTCTGGAGCACCTTCTCCTGCGCCAACGGATAGGAAACTAGTTTCTCCAGCAGTTCTTTGTGAAGTGGGTTGGATTCTAGGGCTTCTTGAAAAGAAATGTCATGCTGGCCAAGGAGGCTGAACTTTGACTTCCGGTAAAAAGTGGCCAGACCCTCGTGCTGCTTGATTCGAAACACGCCCTCCAGCCCGAAGGCCTCGAGCGCAGGCACCAAGCTGTCTGAAAACACCGCGCGGTCAACCTCCTGCAAACAGATGAGGTCGGCATTGTAGCCAGTGAGTTCCTTCTGGATAAGGTTCTGGCGGTAGTCGACCTCCAGGGCGTAGGGGGCACAGTACGGGTACAACACAGTCCTGGAGAACTCCGTCTGGGCATACGTGTCTGCCAGGATGTTGTAGGAGACAGTGCGGATGAGGGCATCCTCCGTCACCTTCTTGGTGTACAGATGCCGGTGGTCAAAAGTGCAGGTGCCAGGCCCGGCTTCCACCGGGGACACGCTTTCCAGCTCCCGGCTCGGCCCGAAGCGCTGCCCATTGCCCGGGGTGCAGTGAAGCCGGAGCCGCAGCCCGATGTCAGCGTTGGATGGGGTGTAGACGCGCTCCCGCACACCGGTCTCGGTCCAAGCGGAAGACGGCAGCGAGGGAGACAATGAAGAGGGGCCGCCGCCCTCCGGCTCCGCCGCTCCGGGCCTGGCTTCCTTGTACCAGCGGAAGAGACAGCCCGCTGGATCCCCAAATTCGAGGCTGAGTTTGGGGCACACCGGGAAGCCCGCCATCATGTAGCGCGGCAACTGCAGCTCGGTGAAGGTAGGAGGGTTGCGCTCCACCTTGTACTTGACATCGCCGATCTGCAGCACCGCGCCGTCCTGCCAGGCGTCCACGTTGAGTACATCCTCGGCCACTGCCTCCTCCCGGTAGTACAGCTTCACCACCGGCTCAGGGGCCGCGGCCGGCTCGGAGCCAGGCACCGCGGAGTCGACGCCGCCGCTCGCGTTCGGCCGGTTCTTCCTGCTCTTCTTCGCCGCGGCCGCCTTGGCGTGGCCCTTGAGGGCGTTGGTTGCGATCCGGCTGAGGACCCGGCCGAGCGGCTCGCTCTGGTCGCGCTGCATGTTCTTGTGGCTGCCGTCGGCCAGCGCGAACGACAGGCTCAGCTTGGGCTCGGAGGGCACGCAGCGCACCACGGCGCGCTCCATCGCGCCCGCCGCCTTCTCTGCCGCAGCCTCCGCCCGGCTGCGCTGCTCCGCCGCGGCCCGGAACCCTCGAAGCGCGGCGCGGACGCCTGAGAACCTCCACATGAACCTGGCTGCCCAGCAGCTGACAGGACCCGGGCCGAGGGGCGGCCCGGCGTCAGGCTAGGCGCAGAACCCGCAGCCCGCAGCCCCGGGCTCCATTCGCACACTGCGGGCTCCGCGCGACGAGGAGAGGGCGCGCGGCGCTTCCGCGGTGCACTTTCGCCAGTCCTCCTCCCCGCTCTTTCTTTCTACAGCCATGCCCGTCTCGAATTTCTAGCCGATTAATTTTTATATTTAATCCTAGGTAGACTGGGGAAGCTGTTAAAGAAACAGAGGGGTGGCGCATGCAAAGGCTGGAGCCGGCAGTTTTGTGGAAAGTGCGGATTGAAGAAAGGCGCGCGGAAGGCGCGGCGGGCCGGAAGTGGTGGGCGGGGCCGCGTGCGCGCTTCCGCCGAGGTGGCGGTTGCGCCCAATGGCTGTGGTTCTCCTGCCGGCGCCCGCTGGGCTTTGCGAGGGCGTGGGGGGCCGCGTTCGGAGGGCGAGCTCTGCTTGGGGCGTGGAAAGCGGTACCCGTTTCCTCTCCGCGGTGGTGCCGGCGCCGCTGTCCCTTCTCTGAGGTGTGGAGGGCCCCGGCCGTCGTTAAGTAACCGCGTACGACACCCCGAATATAAGCGCGGACCCCGCTGAAACACGGCCCCAAGCGCGCTGTGTAAGCCGCGCGGTGCGGGGGGATGGGAGGGGCCCTGCCGGTCGCTTGCGGCTGTGCGGCCTCCAGAGAGAGAGAGAGAGAGAGAGAGAGAGAGAGAGAGAGAGAGAGAGAGAGAGAGACAGACAGACAGACAGACAGACAGACAGACAGACTAGGCACGCACACGCTCCAAGCCACAGTATAGTAAGTGGACACACACGCAGTGCTGACACCCGGCGGAAGCCTGCTCATTTTTATTTTTTATTTATTTTATTTTATTTTTTTTATTTTTATTTTTTTTTAAATTTCTTTTTTTTTTTAAATTTATTTATTTATGTGTGTGTGTGTGGCCAGCTCAGCCCACCAGGGGGCGGGCTGGCTGGCATGTGGTGCTGGGGGATCGAACCGTGGTCCCTGGGTTTTGCTAAAGCTTGTTCTAAGTAGGTGCTTTAGACCACTGAGCCATCTCACCAGCCCCCTGCTCATTTTTAGGAAAGAGGAAAACCTTTGCTATTTAGGATTGCCAGGTCTAGCAAATAAAAGCACAGATCGCCAGTTAAATTTCGTGTGTGTGTGTGTGTGTGTGTGTGTGTGTGTGTGTGTGTGTGGCCAGCTCAGCCCACCAGGGGGCGGGCTGGCTGGCATGTGGTGCTGGGGGATCGAACCGTGGTCCCTGGGTTTTGCTAAAGCTTGTTCTAAGTAGGTGCTTTAGACCTCTGAGCCATCTCACCAGCCCCCTGCTCATTTTTAGGAAAGAGGAAAACCTTTGCTATTTAGGATTGCCAGGTCTAGCAAATAAAAGCACAGATCGCCAGTTAAATTTCGTGTGTGTGTGTGTGTGTGTGTGTGTGTGTGGTGATGATGGTGGTATTGGGGATTTTACCCAGTGACTCACACATGCCAGGCCACGTGCTCTGCTAGTAATTTCAGTTAATGAGTAATAGTGCAAAGTGTTCTAAATATAAAGTAATTCTTTTGTTTGTCTGAAACTTTAAAAAAAATTGGTGCACATTAATGATATGAATGAGGAGATTTTGGTGTATTGGTACATGCATTCTCCCCCCCACCCCCCGTTTTTGGTCTCCGTGGTCCTTCTCTGCTTTGCCTTCCCCTACTCTTGATCTGCCTCAGCTTTTTAATCCCCTGACAGGGATATGCTGCGTAGTTCAAGGTGACCTTGAACTCACTGTGTTCTACACTGCCCTCGAACTTGAGGCACCTCAGGAATGCTGGCGTTGCAGGTGTACACCATCACACCTAGCTTATGTGACAATGAGACAGGGAGCCTCCAGATAATACAGGGGAAAAATGTTCTCCCAACCTGACCTGGATGAGTTGGTGTTCTCTAAAACTGAAGAATGAATTTTAGGAACAAACGGAGGTTGAGAGTAGAATATATTTATTGAGGGAAAGAAAGCCCCTGTCTTAAGGAGAGGGACAGGAACGGGGACTCCCCCCTCCCAGAGCGTTGTCCCGCGAAGTTGTCCCTTCCTCGGACTTTCATAGTGTAAAACCACGCAGGCTAAGGTGGAGGAAATGGGTAATTCACTTAGGTGGATGTGGGGTGGGACAAAACTATGGTCACGCAATGGGATTACAAGCACCATTGCTCAGGTAAAATTAAGCCCAGGACCAAATGGGGAAGGGAGTCACATAGCAAGCAGGCATGAATGTAAAACAGGACTTTATCTGGTAGCCGTCAGATAATGGGTCTTCTTGGCTTTTTCAGGGCGATGAGCAGTTCCAGATGCTAATCTTTAGGGAGGTTAGCATTTGTTTGATCTTTGGTCTTTAGGTTTGACTCACAGCAGGAGCATCTGTCCCTTCCACAGTTTGTAAGCTATCTTGTCTTCTGTGTTATCTCCTTTGAGGGCCTGGCCCTGTCTGCCTATAATATTTCTATCTAATTTGGCTGCCTGCAACAAGAGTCTTAATCCAGGTTTTGAGATACGCCATACAATGCCACTCTTCTTTTTGGTTTTTTTCTTTAATATTTCAATTTGTTTGAAAGAGTAAAACATAGCCATAGATCCTCTTGCCTCAACCTCTCAAAGTGCTAGGTTTATAAGGCATGCACCATTATCCCCGGTATTGTGGACTTAAGTAATCCTTCAGGCTCAGCCTCCTGAGTAGCTGGGACTACAGACATCCACTGCCACACCAAACTCGTCACACAATCACTCCTTTCCTATACCACACTCCCATTCTGGGATTTGAATCCAGGACTTTGCAGTGCAAGCACCTGTCACTGAGCTACATCCCCAGCCCTTTTATTAATTCTGACATAGGGTCTTGCTGAATTACCCACACTGTTTGAACTCACATTTCTGTGCATCCTGCATAGCTGGAATTATACCACTATTCCTGGCTTCAAGTTGGTTTTTTTTTTTTTTTGACAAAGTCATCAAGGTATTTTGGTGGGGGAAAGATAATCTTTCAGCAAATTATACTGAAACAATTGTATATTTTTTTTTTCTTTTTTGTGGAACCGAGGATTGAACTCAGAGCCTTGCGTTTGCCAGGGAAGTGCTTATTCCACTGAGCCATCTCCCCGGCCCCTTAACAATTGTATATTCTGATGAAAAAAGTTACATGGATTGCAGACCCAAATGTAAAAACATGGGAGAAAATCTTTTTTTTTTTTAATTATTTAATTAATTAATTATTTATTTGTGTGTGTGTGTGTGTGTGTGTG